TCCCTGGCATCAGCTGCAGATGCAGGTGTAGAGGCTGGTCGCTGTGGTAACACACACCCACATGGATTCTGGTCTCATGCTCCCTGTGTGGCAGCAAGAAGGATGGGAGACGACAGATTTTTCTTAGTAGCTCTCAAAATAAGCTTGGTATGACTAAATTGCAGCAGTGGTACCTTAGAAGTTAAATATCTGCTTAATTTCCACAACATGGAGGTGTTCTTGCTCATTCCTATACTATTACAATTATTAAACTAAAAGGATGATCAAACTAAAAAAAAAAGAAAACAAAAACCCCCATACTCCCCAAATTTACCTTTCCTCCCACACCTGATACCCTAAACCCATCTCCAATTCACAGCAAACAGCTTTGATCTCAAAATACCACACTCCAAAAACTGAGCAGATCCTACTCTGCCTGAACAGAAATTCTGTGCATGGAAGGATACAGAAATGCACTATACATTCTGTAGCCAGGAATTTATGTCAAGGTGAACATAGCCCTGAAACTTAGTGTATGCGAGAGCTCCCAAAGCTGTTAATTAGCTGACAGTGAGGAAGAGCTGTTGATGCAAACACAAAAGCAGTAACTACAGAGACAGCAAAACTAGCCTTGAAATCCCTTAGTGAAGAGTTAGACGCTGCAGATGGTCTTCTGTAGCCAGAGACAGCTTAAGGACACTGAAGATAAAAGGTTGTTTTACTGAGGAGACAGCTTGCACAGCTTTATGTAGATACAGAAAGTAAATTCACTCCTACTATTTCTGTGGAAGGTTGTTTCTGCATTCTAGTAGGAACACTGCTTTGATGGGACTGCAAGAGGGAATGGCTTGAGCAAGTCAAAAGATGGCAGTATTCAAATACCTGCTGTTCTTGAAGTAGCTGGGTTTTGAGAGAAATGACAGCATCTCCTCCTGGACAGAGAAAACGTGAAAAACTCCATTAGGTCCATGCACTACGTGAACTAGACCGAGAATAAAACTTTACCCATGGTATTTGACCATCATCTTCCCACAGTCTCAACACTAGGTATGAAGTTCAGTGGTTTCTGTGGCCTCTAGCATTAAACAATGCAATCTGGGAACACCAGCTGATCGTCTGTACCAGAAGAAGGTTTCAGATCTCAGCTGTGCCACAAATCAGGCCAGAGAAGTAGCATCGGTTCTAACAAGGGTCAGCTTGACTTACAAAACAATATTCTGGCTGCTCGATGCCTTCACAATTTAACAACTGTTCTGGTGTTCCCGCAGTGTGTAGTGCACAAGAACAGGCTTGTGCAGAACTGTAACATCCTTCCTACTAAGCCAAATGGAATCATGATTTTAGAGAGCTGTTCAAACACCTCAGGAGAAATCCTCTGCCCTACAGAACTCGTACAAGGTGGAGAAAACAGAAAGCTAAGTGGACGGGCAGAGAAAGATGCTCCTGTAGGACAATAGAAAAGTCTTACTGCTTGTAATGGTATGGATCTCCTTTGGTGGTTTGCCACAATACAGAAGTACTCAAGAAGATGCTTACCCAAAGCCAGTGGCAGCTGGTGCCACCTGAAATCCCAGCACCGTCTTCTATAGATGGAGAAGCACAGAGCCAGCAGAGTCGGCAAAAGCCAAGGACACAAAACTCAAAATGCCAAACCAAATCACCAAATGAAGCCCAAGCCATTAATTCTGGAGAGCCTTCTTCATCAGCCTCTCATGCTCCTCCATTCCTAGCCTAGAAATAGGATCAGTCTCAGAAGTTTAATGCTGCGTTATCAATAACTTCCTGCATTTTAATTACCCCACCTTACTGCAGTGTGGGTAGGCAAAAACTGAAGAAGTGCATTGGCCCTCCTGAAGCATATGAATTCTTCCTCTGCCAGAGAAGCCTGAGCTTATTTGAGTTACCATAAAATCTTTCTTCCAAACCTGTCCAGCATCCAAAACCAAATAACACACGCCTAAGTTATGCAAAAGCCTGCAACTGTGGTTAAAGCAGACAGCAAAGTAACTCAGCCTATCAGATACTTCAAGCAAAAAATAAACATTATCCCCAAACAATTACACTTCAGAAAAAAAAGCCGAAGGCTTCAGCTCAGAAGGGGCATCGCAAGCAAAGGAGGGCTTTAACAAATGCCTGGTTTTAGTCATGTATTTTAATCCCTCTGATTTCACTGGGATTTAAATGTTGGCTTAATTTATGCATGCTGAACTTTTAAAGTGCTTTATTGGATATGGGCCAAAAGAAACGGGTGCCTCTTGCAGCTTGCCCATCAGAACAGGAGTATTTCACCCTTACCACCACTGATTAGAACGATTAAAGCAGTTACTAAAAGCAGTGATGCAATAAGAAAATGCCTTTTCATCACCATTCCCTTTTTAAGAAGGGCTCCGAATGAGTTTTACTCCACAGAACCTACTGCCACAGGCAGTTTTCTCAGATGATTTGCACAGGTCCCTCTCCAGTCTGGTTCTGCGATGTCCTCTTTACCATCATCATGAACAGTCACATGATGGGTGTAGATCCGCAAAGGTTCATCAGTTCCCACTGAGGCTGGTAGCCTGTGGACCATCAGACCATGCACTGAACCTGAGAGCTGCTCAATGTACATTCAGGCTCTCTAGCAGCAGAAGCTTCTCCAATGCACCAGCTGATTGCCCACCGTTGTTTTAAACCGTGCCAGGAGACAGCTGCTCAGACATCAGCCTGCTGCTGCTGGAGCCCTTCCCGAGCCGCGAAGGACCGCACCTGCCAACAGACAAGCAGATACAGTTAGCAAGCTCCCTGCCTGGCTCTGGACAGCTTCTGAGGTTTAATATTGGATCCTTTCTCTACCAGCATTTCCCAAGGAAGCTGACAGAACGTTACTGAAACTCGTTTGGGTATCTTTGTGAGGTGATGGAGAAGGGTCACTGGGGTTTAGCCAGCAGTGACAGCGGGGATATCAGAAGCTGACACCTGTATAGGGCCAGGGTGCAGATACTTTTAACCTGAGCTGAAGCTCATGATTCAAATTTCCCTTTCTTTTCTGTTAAGGAAATTAATTTATTATATGCTTTGTTTTATAGAAATTTTTGGCTTTCTGAACTGGCAGCAGTAGAAGAATATAGCAACGACATATGCACAGATACATTGTTCTGTGGGAATCAGTTTATTATGCAGTAAGAAACAGAATAAGCTTTTATACAAATTAGGAAACTGTGACAAAGTATTAGATAAATACTACAGTACTAGCCCATGTCTCAGGTTATAAATTTTGATTTATAAGTCAATTGCACAGCATAGTTAATGCACAGGTACATCTCATTCATCAATAAATATCTCACTATTTAATACCCTCCAGGGGAAAGGAGAAAATCAGAAACTCAAGCTCATTTGCATATTACTTCAAGCACGTCTGTCATTCTGGGAATAACTCCATTAACACCCACATCTGCACATATATCCACCTTTCAGCACCGATGAGGATGAACACATCTAGTTATGAGCAGGTACAGCACCTCCCTCAGCGTGCAGCCCACACCCGCAGAGCCTGCCAGGCCCCACCAGAGGGCAGCACTCTGCCCTGAGCATTGAAACGCATTCATCTACCACATCCATGAAACAAGATTTTATTTTTGCTACCTACTCAATGAAAAGTGCTATGATAATTTTTCTAAAGTAAAAAATTACTTCATGATGAGGATATTAATGAAAGCAATAGTGCTTATCAGTATTACCAGGGCAGAGGCTATTACCCATATCTGAAAACTCCCCTGAATTGTAATTACCTCACACCCTGGTATTTTCATGCTTTCAAAGCATCACGACTTTTAAAGACTTGACAAAACATCAGCAGTCTCACACTTGTATGCAGATATACATAAGCAAGTACAGATTTGTCAGTATTCTGAAACAAACCCAAACATTAAAACCTCCTAATTTGTCTTGTTTGGCCAAACTACTCAACCTGAATATGCAGAACAGTTTGGTGAGCAAAACTGCCCTTTCTCCAACACACCTCAGTACATTTTGCATCATGTAGAAAGCTTGGCAGCTAGCCCAGACGAGGTCTACTTGTTCCCTTTGTTCAACAAAGCAATAAAGCACCACATGAAAGCAGCTCATTTGCCTTTCAGTAGAGGACCAGCTGTCTCTGAAGGTGCCTACGACTCCACCTCTAACAGCCAAGTTCTGGAGTTGAGAGGCTGAAGGACCTAGAAGACCAGCTGACTTCTGGCATCTAGTCTATGGAGAGAAAAACTCCACCTCTGGGCTCGAGAGCGAGCGCGCCCCTGAGGCTGCACACAAGGTGTCAGGTGGTGGCACAAAGCAAGTGTCCTGCACCCTCAGCAAACCACGTTTGAAGATGCTTTACCTTTTGTCAGTTTGAGCGTGCTGGAAGCTTTATCTTGTTCTTTTTTCACAGTTCTAGGGTACACTTTTAGCATTTTTACTTGAATCAACATAAGTACTTAGCCTAGAAAACAACTGAGTAGAGATTTTTTGCTTGTTTGCTTTTTAAAATCACCACAGCAAGGCAATCGCTGGTGTCCAGGAACACCACCCCTGTCCTTCAGCCTTTAGAACCCCAAAGTTTTAATTAATGTTGCTCTTTGTCCTGAAGCCCCCAAACTCCATAAGGTGGATAAGCAGTGTGGAGGTCCCCTGTTCAATAGGACACACTGGTCTCTTCTGAACACATCACAGCTACTGCTGTTCAGAGAATCTGAGATTGTCAGAGAGAAGGAATTCCAGTTCAGCAGTATCGTCAGTGGTCTCTACTGGTACATTATTCTTCTCCACAGGGGATGAGTAATTGCATGCTTCATGTCTTGAAGCTAATATCTTTGAAGTCCCATTGCAAGAACATGTCTCCTGTTGTCTGACACTGTCTGAGCAAATGTGGTTTGGATGGTAAACGCCCGGACAGAAATTTGGTTGGCAGTGACTAGGGACGTAGTACTTAGTTGCCACTGGCTTTGATTCTGTTTGATTATGAAAAGGATTATTAGCCATGCAGCAGGTCTGGAGACAGTTACTACTTTTGAATCCATGATGAAGGCCTAATTTAGCAATCAGGGGCTTCCCAACATTAACTTCCTTTCTTTCATCCATTGTGTCTTCTATTCCTGGATACTCATAGTGCAAGCAAACACTGAAGATCAAGTGTTCCTGCAAAAGAGGAAAGGGGGGGGGGAAACCCAAAAATTACACTTCCTCCCCAAATAAACATTACAGGAAACACTTAGAGAGGCACAGTCCACTGGAGAAACCTAACCCTTTTAGGAGCTAAAGGCATATGTTAGGCAAAGCTTGTTTACTGAGGGACTCTTTTGGTTAATACTTGCTTACCTGATAAGTGCTTTTTTCTAGAAGCACTTGTATTATACCAGCTGCCAAAAGCACTGAAGAAGAGATACCAAGTGATGTCCAGCACAGATGTTCAGGACACAAAGATACAGAGATAAACTTAACAGTGCCACAGTATGTGGAAGTGAGAACCTTTCAAAAACCACACTACCAAGAGCATAGGTTAGAATGGAAGGAGACGATACGTAACATTTTTATCTCCCACTAATGACTTTGTAGGATGCAGCTTTGCTTCAGGTCACATTCTTGTACTACAGGGCACAGGAATATCCCCATAGTGTTCAATAGATGATCTGCACAGAAATAAACACCTTGTCAAAGATGGGTCTAGAAAAAAACCAAAGTGTCTTGCACAATGGTATCAGGATTACATATGCATTGATTCCCTGGCTTTTATTTTTCAGCCTAATGTCACCAAATTGTGTTAATAGCCATTTTTTCTCTCCTGTGAACATGTTACTTAATACGCAGACAATACACAGCTACCTCAACACAACTGCAAAGCAACATGATTAATCTAAATTATCTGAACAAAAACATGAGAAATAATATGTATTAACCTTTAGTTTTTGCAGTGAACTTAGTCTGGTGTAGAGGCAGTGCTTGGGAAGGTCCTTTGATACTAAATAGCTCCCAGTTTCCTCAGGAGTTCCTTTATTGGCCTCTTTAGGATCCACATCCAAGTCCTGTTGGAAGAAAGAAATGAGAACTTAGCTGAAGGTACAGAACTTGTAGATCATACAATAGTTAGCAGTATTTTTTATAAAGTCAGCATTTTCTCCTTCTTAAAAGGAAAGAAAACATCAGTCTTGGATTACTCCCACTAGGTAATGAAACCACTGTTAGCACAGGCAGAAGGGGCTACATTTGAGTAGGTGATTCTTGCTGATGGCTTTTTTTTTTTACTTCTACTATAAAGTACAAAACTATAACACTAAACCCGTGGGCTAAAAATACATGTATTTATTATGCACATGAAGCATCAGAAAGTGTCATGTTTATTCTATCTAAAAGGTTTTCTGCCCCATGTCATCTTTCTCAGACATCAAAAAAAGTTTTTTTGCCCCAAGGAGCTTTCTCATGTACTCTTATCCTTCACATCTGGGATGAGCTGAGTAACATCAATGGAACTGGACAGGATCACCCAGGTGCAAAGAACTGTAACAAAAGAGCCTAAGAAACCTTGCCCTGCAAGGTAGACATGTCCTCAGCTCACACAAGAGTTACTGACATTTAACTTCTTTAATATAACAAATACTTGGTATTAGACAATGAAAACAAAGGAGACTTTGAAAAAGATGACCTCAGATTAATTTTCATGTATTTTAATATATATCCTAAATATGCATTAAAAAAAAAAAAAGTGTATCTGTACATGTAGGCACCTGATCTCCACAGCAGAGACCCATTTCATCACAAAAGGTGCAGTTTGACACGGACAGCTGAAATGCTGGGGTTTGAGCCCCGAATTAAGGTTGACATAGGGGTGACTCCCACAGCCCTTCATACAGAGGGGGTGAGTTTGCCTTTCAGCTCCCCCCAGGGTGCGGCCGGCCCTGGAGGGGCCACGAGGGAAATGGGCCCCCAGGGGCCCGATGAGCCCCAGGTGTCCTGCACTGAGTGACCAAAGGTCAGGGGTCTGCTGGGGGATAAAAGCTGGGACCACTTGCAGGAAGGGAGGAGAGTCTGTCTGTGGAGTGCACTTCACAGAGCTTCCTGCTTAAGGAAAGACCTCCTGACTCTCCTGGAGCTGGGCCCTGGTCAGTTCAGACCTTTGTGAACACAGGCTAAACGGGTGAGAGTTGCCATGTGGGCACCTTTATCCTATCTGTTTAACCCTGTGATCTGGCTGTTTCCCTTGCTGTCCATGGGCAGCCTTGGCTCACTGTTCATACCGCCTGTTGTGGGTCGAATGGTGTCTCTTCTGGGACTGTTGGGGTGGTGACAATTGTATGTGAGCTGGTTGACTTGTTTGTACCCCCGGCGGTCATTCATGGCATGACTTTCTTGTTGCCAATACACTCTGCTTATTGGTTTGTCTTTCTGCTGGTTGTAGCACTCTTGTTGGGCCTAGTCATTGGCAGAATAACAGCCCAGGCAGTTTTCAGCCTCAGTGGAGGGACTGCCGAGACACCGCCCGGAGCACTTACGAGGGCCAGGTCTGTGACGTAGGCTCTGCAGGCGGCTATTTCGGGTGGCTTCTTCACTATCCGCGTGTAGATGATCATGACATTGGAAAACTCGGCTGCAAACCCCAGCTGGATCTGGACGCCACATCTGAAGTCCAGATACATGCTTTCTGGAAGCTCTGCAAATAAATAACACATCATCACATTCCCAGTAAAACCCCGCAGGTGCATTTAGAGTCAGCAGATGGGAAAGGTGCAGGGCTCCTGCTCCTGCCCGCCCCCGGCTGGCACACTCGGCGCCTGGCTCCACTGCTGCCTCCCGGGCAGCGAGCAAGGCCCCAGCTCCTGACTGGCACAAAGCTCCCTGTCCCAGCAGGGGCACCTGGGCTAGCGGGGTCCTACAGCCCACGCACGCGGGATGCAGCTGCAGCCTAACGAGTCAGGTTCATTTTCTTCCTCTCACAGCCCGTGCACCCATTTACAAAGCCTAGCCCACAGCCTTTTTCTTTCATATTTTGTTTTTTTTCAATCCATGGGAATATATCTGGAAGAGCTCAAGGGTCAATGACACCATTCTGTGTCTATGCTTTGTGCCATTTTTCCTACTCCCACTGAAGCAGATTATTTAACTTTATCATAGACATACCTTTATACAAAGGTTATTCTCTTCCCAAATTCCAAACACATTCCCTTCTATGCATAGCTTAAAACAAACCACAAGATAACATTATGTCTTTATAACTTTTCCTTTCCATTTTAATTATTTAGCAAACAAGAATTAAGGGCTTGATTCCACAAATGAAAAGCTACATCTGTGAAGGAGTCTGCTTACATGACTACTTCACTTAAAAATGCCATCCCTGACCCCATGCCCAATCTGCTGAAGAAATGATGAAATACACTCTAACATGTTTAGGTGAAAAAGATAGAAAGGTCTTAAACTCCACCGCCCTTCTTAAAAGATATCTTGAAAGCCTGGAACTGACCTCACCCTTATTTTAGGACTTCTTAGTTGTATACATTGAAAACTCCTTTTCATCATGCACTTCTACCATACAGTTCACCCAGCTATTTTTAGGTGATGATTTTAGAATGAGATTAAGGATGTCTTAAAAGTTGTTAGACACAAATGGACTGCTGGGAGATTACCCTGCAAGGCAGATGTGATGTAAGTCTCCCCTACAGTGTTTGTGTGCTCTTAAACATAGTTACTCAGGATGAATTCTACACTTGTTCATTACAATCTTATGTAGAAGTCAACCCCAACACAGAAGTTTTCAAGATCTGAACGTACTAATGAAAACAGAGATACAAACTTGAATTTCTTCTGTTTTCACTCAATATCACAACTCACAGATTAGAGATGATGGAAGTACTCTCATTTTCCCCATCATGCCAGTATGATCATCTTTTAAAAGGAGACTGTACTATACCATGAGCTTTGGCCCATTGTAGGTTCCGTGCCAGGGACTCTGCAGAAGACGTGGTTTGCTGAACGGGATCAGTTAATGCCCTTTTCTCAGACAAACTGCTGCGGATCTCCAAAGCTTGCTTGCCTTTGGTAAGGTGACACTTGCCCATATCTAAAAATAAGATGCATATAGTTTCTTTCAAAATGAGTGCTGCTGGAATTGTGACTGAGCTGGGCACAGCACTGCAAGGCTGCGTGGCTGCTGTGGCTACGCCGGCATTCCGCAGGGACGCGTGGTTCCCGCGCTCGCTGCTCGGCTCTCCGTTCCCCTGAGGCTGAACCAGGGAGCCACACCTGTGCGTCTCCTCGTCAACACCCTCACGTCTTTCACACCCATTCAAGCAATCTCCAGAGGTCTTTCCCAATTTTAACCAGCCTGAGATTCAAATTTACTCCAATTTATTAGTGTCTCCCTATATTTCGTTCAATTACCTTTAAAGGTGATATTTTCAGATAGTTTTGCTGCACACAGAGTGAAAATCTCTGACCTGCAAAAGGAATACTGGAAAATTTCCATTTTTGAGTTCATAGAAAAATGAAATAAATGAAGGCTGTTTACGTGGAGCACTGTTAACGTGAACACTCCTTTGGAACACTTTCAAGTGTTATCAGTGCACCAATGTGCTCTCTAACACCCAGTGGCTGGTAATACTGACAACAGTGGTTGTCACGCTGCCTGAAAACCCCATCCTTCTCTCCCCTCTGAGTTCAGGAATGAGATAAGTAATAGGTCACATGTCAGAACATCTACAGCATGTGATGATGACCTGGCAGTACCTACAAAACAATAAGACTCAGTTGTATTTTACAGGACATTTGGGGAGGTGAAGAGAGAATGGGTGCTGGCAGAATTGTGGCACGTTCTTAGGAGGAAGCAGAGAGAAGTCTGAGAGTGTACAAACCCCCTTAACACCCAAAAGCAATGCCAGAAAGGATGAGGGGACAAAGAGGGTGAGAATATTTTTGGATATTTGTTCATTTGAAAATTTGTGAAAGTTCTAATGCAAGTTGAAAGACTGATTGGTCTGTGAGCACTGCAGAATGTGAGGTGGTGTCTGGTTGTCTTTGGGCTTTGAACAGGCTGACAGTGGGAGAGCTTGGGGTAAAAGCTGAAGGTGTAGCACACACACACTGCAGACACAGGACTGATGCTATGATGAATGGGTTATGGGGTTCTTTTCAGGAAATGTAGTGATAAAAACTAGAGCTCACTACAGCTGCAAGTAAAAGGGCAGTAAATCCTCAAATCCTTCCTTTTTATTTAGGTAATGGCAAAATTAAGTAGTACTGTAAACAAACAAGTCTTAATAAAAAAAGCACTCTAATTGCACCTGGCAGAAGAAGAAAAACACATCATTCTGTGTGGGAACAAAAGACAAACAACAACAAAAAATCAACTTCAGCCCTAGGCTTTGAAATAATCATCACAGTTTTACCATCTACGGATCGTGTTTCTTCAGGATAATTCTGAGATTATCTAATTCCTTCTGAACTTTTCACAGAAGCTTAATGGAAAGTTTCAGAGATAAGACTGAATTTTTTTTATGGGATCTAATCAAGCAACACACCGACTATAAGCAAAAAGACAGAGAATATATATAAGAATATATTCCAGACAAACAAGCAAAGGGTAACTAAGAGCCATTCCACTTCAACTTACATCCTTGGGGTACACTGGATCCCTATTGCCATCAGTTTGACAAATTCCACACATATTTCAGCTAGTCAACCAATCAGCTCTTCCCTTTATTCAGTAGGGCACTATCAGAAGCTCTGCCAGTTTAATCTTTGCATTTAATTTTCAACAGTCATCTGCTGACAGCAGAACCTCTCTGCATTTAGGAACCTCTTAGATTATTTTTCTTCTTTTTGGATGCCTGTTAGAAGACAGACTGACAAAAATCTGAAACCTGCAGTTGCACCAAGTACACTGGAAACCACAGCAGAATTTGGCTGATCAAGTACAACACCTACAAACAATAGTTTATATCTATCTATCTAAATACTGATTTAGATATCATAATTTTTTATATATATATATATATAAATGA